TTACAGTTCTTCCTCTAAGGCCTACAAGGTGTATCAACCTCGAACAGGGAAGATAATTGTTAGTAGAGACGTGTTCTTCAATGAAGATGAGAAGTGGAACTGGGAACAGACAAAAGAGACATCCACGAGCAAGCAGAAATCAAGTCTTCCCTTCCAACCAACAGAAGAGCAAGCATCAGAACAGTGGCAAGAAGACTTGGAAGATGATCCACCAATCCGTGGAACAAGACCCCTCTATGATATCTATCAGAGATGCAATGTGGCCATTTGTGAACCTGCGGGTTATGAAGAAGCCATTAAAGACCAGAAATGGAAGAAGGCAATGGAGGAGGAGTTGTCAATGATAAAAAAGAACAAGACTTGGGAGCTAGTTGATAGACCGAAGGATAGAAAAGTTATTGGAGTGAAATGGGTGGAAAGTGTTTCAATTAGATGTAAAATCTGCATTCTTGAATGGTATTTTACAGGAGGAGATCTATGTTGAACAGCCCGAGGGATTCATGGAACAAGGTGAAGAGGAGAAGGTCTACTTGCTAAGAATGCTCTATATGTCAAGCCTAGGATTCGAAAAAAGCATGGTATATCAAGATAGATAAGCATATGTCAAGCCTAGGATTCGAAAAAAGCATGGTATATCAAGATAGATAAGCATATGTCAAGCCTAGGATTCGAAAAAAGCATGTCAGAGGCTACTCTTTATGTGAAACGTAAAGGAGATGATCTGCTTATAGTCTCTCTTTATGTTGATGATCTCTTAATCACAGGTGGCAATGGCAAGCTTGTTGAAGAGTTCAAAAGGGAAATGATGCAGATCTTTGAAATGACAGACCTTGGACTAATGACATACTTTCTGGGAATGGAGATTAAGCAGTTGGAAGATGAAGTTTTCATCTGTCAAAAAAAGTATGCCAAGGAAATTCTCAAGAAGTTTCATATGGAGGATTGCAAGGCAATGGCTACTCCAATGAATCAAAAGGATAGCTTGAGCAAAGAGGATGGGACTGACAAAGTTGAAGAAAGCTATTTCAGAAGCATGGTTGGATGTCTAATGTACCTAACTGCAACCAGGCCAGATATCCTTTTTGTTGTAAGCATTCTCTCTCGTTTCATGCATTGTGCTAGTGAAGTGCATCTTAAAGCAGCAAAAAGAGCTATTAGGTATATCAAAGGAACTATTGACTTTGGTGTAAAGTTCAAGAAGTGTCAAAATTTCAAGTTGTTGGGATTTTCTGACAGTGATTGGGGTGGATCCGTGGATGACATGAAGAGTACATCTGGGTACTGTTTCAGTCTAGGATCAGGTTTTTTCTCATGGTGTTCCAAGAAACAAGAGATTGTAGCACAGTCTACTGCAGAGGCCGAATTTGTTGCTGCTACAGCCGCAGTGAATCAAGCATTGTGGCTGAGGAAGTTGTTATGTGATTTACACTTGAAGCAACTGAATGAGACAGAGGTATTTGTGGACAATCAGGCAGCAATTGCAATCTCCCACAATCCAGTTTTTCATGGAAAAACTAAGCATTTCAAGATCAAATTTTTCTTTTTAAGAGAAGTGCAAAAGGAAGGAGAAGTGAACCTCATTTATTGCAGATCTGAAAATCAGCTCGCAGACATTTTTACAAAGCCTTTGCCAGCAAACAAGTTCGAGCTTCTTAGGCAGAGACTTGGAGTTTGCAGCTCCTAATGCATGGAGGAGTGTTAGTTAGCTGCTTTTAGGACTGCAACTTGTCCATGTGTTAGATAATTGTTTTATGCTTCCTTAAATGTGTCCACATGTTCTTTATGTTTCCTTCAATATGTCCACGTGTCATGTATGCTTCCAATTTATTTGTTTTGAGTTGGTCCTAGTCTTTAGGAAGTAGTTAGTTTGTTCTAGACGTGTTGCAGTTTATGGCTTGATTCTCGGCCACTATGTTAGTTGTTCAGTTTTTGTTTTTTATATAATGTAAGCTTGATGCATTATGAATTAAAATAGAATTCCCAGTTTGCATTCCCGTATATCTTCCTCTTGTTTTTCATCTTTAAAACTAACAATTATCAACAGATGGACACAAGAAAACCTTCACAACCATCTGATTTCCCTATAGTTTTCAGCTCCTGCAGTTCAAACAGAATCCATTAAACATCAACATAACAATGTGTGTGTGTGTGTGTGTGTCTATATATATATATATATATATATATGATATGACTATATGATAGTACATTATTGTATTTAGCTTATCCTTTGTCTCTCTCCATTGATCACAGCACTCATATAAGCATTTCTAATATGTTGTAGGTCGCGGCTGACATCTCCCATATTCATCCTCCCATTTGGTGAGTTCTCTGAACAAGCAAGTCCAATCTCCAAGACCGAAACCAGGCACTTATGCAGACTGGAGCTCATCTGATTTAAGTACTTAAAGTTGATGCCTTGGTTGTTGCTGTAGTTTATTTCTCCCTGTCTTCTACTTGTTTCTTCTGCTTCATTGGGGAGAAGAGTCGAGTCTATTATTTGTTCAAGTCTTTCAGGCAACGCCGTTTTAACGAAGTTGTGGAGATTGAAGTCATCTTTCAACATCTCATCGGTGGGTCTCTTTCCGGTGAACAACTCCAACACAAGGATCCCATAGCTATACACATCTCCATGTCTTGATGGCTCACCACCCATTGCATACTCTGCAACTTGTACAAATGATTAGTTTACAGTTTTAGCTATAGTTTTTGCATAAATTAGGAAAACAAAAGTCAGAGTCATCAC